TTTTTTTTTTTTTTTTTTTTTTTTAAACAGGGTCTTGCTATGCAGTTGAGGCTGGCCTTGAGCTTCCTTTATAGCCAGGCTGGTCTCGAACTCACAGTGATCCTCCTGCCTCAGCCTCACCAGGGCTGGGATTACAGGCGTGCACCACCACACCTGGTTGAAAAATTCTTGTAATTTTCAACTTTCTCCTACTTTCAGGCCCTAATGATAACCTCCGGGGATCTAAGAGCAGAAGGAATGAAGAAGGGAAGGAGAGGAAAGTGGAGGGGAGGGGAGGGAAGAGAGAGACAGGGAAAGAGAGAGAAATTCTTGTTAATTCTTTGGCTTTTAACATTTTAGGCTTAGGTCAAAACACAAATTCGTTGCTTTTGTAAAACTTTTCAATTTGAATAAATCAAAATGTCTTAAGGCCGTGTAGTGTATAGCAATAATAATACTTGGAAATTTTTCTTTTCCATTATTCCTTATTTTTTACTTTCTATACCTAAAGAACTGCTGGGAGATATAGATTACTTGGACTTTGTGAAATTTAAAACTCACTTAAGATGACAACCTATGAAAATGGAGATTTGTCTTCCAAGTTTGGTTTGAATATATGTAAGAATTTACCTAAGAAGTAATGAATTTTTTTTTGCCATATATTAACATATGGTTTAAGGGCTAAACTGTTTTCTCTATTATAAAACATGTTTATTTTTGCTGAAATAGACAGTCAAAAATACTATACTTAGTAACAGCAATAAATTTGAAAGACAAATTTATAAACTTTCTTTAGCTTTTTTAGACTTTTAGTTGACTATGGTAATAGCCATGAGCTGTTTCATGATTACAATATACAAAAAATGTGGCCGGGCATGGTGGCGCAGGCCTATAATCCCATGACTCGCAGAGGATCCTTGTGAGTTCAAGGCCAGCCTGGGCTAGATAAGTGAGTTCAAGATCAGCCTGAACTGCACAGTGAGACTTTGTCTCAAAAAGACCAAAAAAAAAAAAAAAAAAAAAAAAAAAAAGTAGCAGCACTTAATTTTATCCTTATAGTGTTTTGCTGTTTCTCTCTCCTTAGGCATCAGCTATGTGTGTAAAGCTTGGATTTTTGCCTCCTGTCTTTGCCCTGAATAGTAAATTTGTCTCCAGAGTCAAATCACTTCTTCCATCCCTCCCTTTACAATCCTAACTTCTTCAAAGAGATGATTTCTGTACTCTGCACTTTATATGGTTTTCTAGTTCTAGGTGGGATCTCTGGTCTGCACTTAACTTTTGCATTTCCCTCAAAAGCAAAAATTTTCCTCCAACCTCTACCTTCAGTTGGTTTCTTGAAGACATTTGGTTGTCTTATACATAACTTTCCGTAGTCTGGATTTTATTATCTCCCTATGGTGTCACGTAATGTGTTCTTCTGTCCTCTTGTATTTCCCATAAACTGGTGTGAACTTCTAAAAGCTTGGTCAGATTAAGGTGAAAGATAATAACTTCTCTTAGGGGAGGTACTATTTATTTTTTTGAGGATTAACAGTTTATGGGTATGAAATGATTTGATTTGTTACAATTCATTGTGTTGCTTTCTGTTGATATCAAGATTGGCCCATATTGGCGTGTTAGGCTGATCTTGAATTCCTGGGCCCTAATTATCCTCCGCCTCAGCCTCCAGAGTAGATGGACCTATAGTAGATGGAAGGCAGAGTGCTTTTGATAGGATTCTAGTGGCATTCAGTACTTCCTTGTTTTTGCTTAGAAAAATTGAGTTGTCTCTGTATGTGTATGTGTGTATCCTTTTTTTGGTACCAGGCCTGAAACTAACCATTTCTCCAAGAAGTCCTGATCATATTTGTTGGGCATGGTTATTAAAGATCAAAGTCTAAATATGAACACTTCCTAAAAAATGATCAGTTCTGCTTTAAAGACCCAAATTGTGTTAGGTTTCAAAGTCATTTTGGAAGTAGGTGAACTATGTCTTCGTACCTGTACAGACTCTTAAACTCAGTACTGTGACATCTCAACAGGGTTGAAATTAAAAGCTAGCCCTATAAAATTAGTAATTTCTTTTTAATTATTATTACTAGAGTTTTGGGATTTTTATTAGGTTCTTTGGTGTTGCCACTATAAATTCTGCAACAGTCATCATTATGCCCTGGGTTGTTAGCTGAGTCTGAATCTAGCCCAGTATCTTTAAAACCTGACTTCACAAAAGCAAAACAAAAAAAACACTGCTGACTTCATATCATATGAATATGTTTAAAATACAGATGCCTACACCAGTTAATTTGGAAGGAGGACTGATGATACCTATTTTTATCCTCAGGGATTTCTTTTAGGTAGGCATTTGAAACCTACTGATTTGTCTAATGGTACTCTAAGTAACTAGAAGTAATTTGTGTGGCTATTTCAGCAAACATCTGTACTTGACTCTGAATTGTTTAGTGTTAGTGATATTAAATTATGTCTAAAGACCTACAGGCAGGTAGAGTTAAAGTACTTTGTTAAAATATACTTCTCATCAACAACTGGGATCTCATCTTACTGAAAAGTTTTTGCACATCAAAAGAAATCACCAACAGAGTAAAAAGAAAACCCATGAACTGGGAACAAATTTTACCTAACTGTCCCTCAGACAAAGGACTTCTATCTAGAACAGATGAAGAATTTTTAAAGATCAGGTCCCTAAAATTCAAAGAACCAATCCAAAAATGGGCATCTGAGATGAATACACACTTCTCAGATGAAGAAATACAAATGACAAATGAATGTGTGAAAAAATTTTCAACGTCATTGGTCATTTGAGAAAGGCAAATTAAAACAACACTTGGATTCTGTCTCACCCCAGAAAGAATGGCTATCATCAAGAAATCAACCAATAACAAATGCTGGAGGAGATGTGGGGTAAAAGGAACTGTTCTCCACTGTTGGTGGGCATGTAGACTGGTACAACCACTGTGGTTATCAGTGTGGAGATTCCACAAAAAACTAGGATTAGAGGTCCCACTTACCCAGCTATTCCCCTTCTGGATATTTTTCCAGAAGAATTGAAAACATCATCTCACAGCGATATATTATATGTGCACTCATGTTTATAGCAGCGTAGTTTGTCATAGCTAAATCTTGGAAACAACCCAAATGCCTATCCACTGAGGAATGTATAAAAAAGAGGTGGTATTTTTATATAATGGAGTATTACTCAGCTATAAAAAAAGATAAACTCAAGGCTTTTATTTTTTAATTTTTATTTATTTATTTTTGCTTTTTAATTTTTTTGATCAATTTTGCATGCTTATATCTGGTAATATGAACAACTAATTTGAAGACAGTAATATGCAGTATAACAACCATTGTTGAATTCCTATCATCTTGTTTACTGAAATTTGGTATCATTTCTAATTTTTTAAATTATTTTTTATTCTCTTTAAAAAATAAAAAAATAAATAAATTACCACCCACCCCCAAAAAAACATACTTTTCACTCCTCGTGCTTAGATATAGCCTTGATTGATGCCTTTTGTTCATTGCCCTTTGATAGGGCTCTCAGTTAAATTAAAAAAGGACTGGTGCTTTGGTTTAAAAGTTTAGTCAGATGAACTAACTGAAGTATAAATTTCTGCTGATGAATATAGACTAATTAGATCACGTCTGAATAGACATTTTAATCTTAAATTGTTTTGGAAAAAAAAAATAATCGTCCATAATCCCACACTACTAACACTATTATATTTTGTGTATTCATTTATCAAATTTAACCCATATGCAAACATTTTTTTTGCATAATCATATGTCTAGCCAGAGTTAGAAAACACCAGTCTCAGTTATCAACTGATCTTTAGCTACTTCCTCAATTTCTTCAGTTAAAAAAAAAAGATTATGGAACAGTAATTCTCATTTTAAAATTTTCATATGTACTATACGTGAGCTAGGAAGTCACTATAGTGAATTCTCCATTGTGTCTTTTAGTGATGCAATTGAAAAGTGATACAGAATAAACAGCAAGCCTTTAAAAATTCAATTTTGCTTTGGGTTCTACTCTTGAAAATTTTGTCATTTTAAATATTGTACTTCAGAAATATGGCTAGTGTTAATATGAGTCGGCATATGAACACATATGACCTCTTAAAAATAAGGTAATTAGAAAATCAGTGATCAGTTTATTCCATTTTTTTTGTTTCGTTTTGTTTTATTTTTTTGAGACAGGGTCACGCTATGCAGTTCAGGCTGGCCTTGAGCTCACTTTGTAGCCCAGGCTGCTCTCGAACTCCCAACAATCCTCCTGCCTCAGCCTCCCCAGTGCTGGGATTACAGGCGTGTGCCACCACGCCCGGCCCTTTCCATGTTAATGGATTTCTTTTCTTTCTTTTTCATCTTTTGATTTTTTGAGATAGAGTCTTTTCTACATAGTCCAGACTGGTCTTGAACTCAAAGCAGTTCTGCCTTCACTTCCCAACTGCTGGGATCACAGGTGTGTACCACCAGACCAGGTGGATTTTTTTCTTAAGTCACACCTTGAAAAAAGTTAATTTTTTACTTTCATAATTCGTAATTCTAGACTTAGCAACATTAGGAGAATCTGAGCTCCAGCCTTCCATTTCCTGTGAAACAATTAGGGTCTTTCCCTCAATTCAGAATGCTGGGGAAGTGGTTGTCCTAACTAGATACACAGTTTTCAACATTGCGTACTAGAGAAAGGTATGTTAGATACAGGTGAAATGATACTGCTACTACCTGGTACATTATGGGGAAAAAAATACTTTTTGTGGTATAACACAAGAGCTGTCTTTTAAAATATTCTTTGGGAACATTCTTTTCAATTTCCAAATAGACTGAAATAGGAACATAATTTAGATAATGAGCTGTATTGTTGTAAATTTCATCCATTTTTGTTAGTAAAAACGTGTTATTATTTTCCTTGCCTTTGCACATTGCTTTTATAATCCTCATAGATTTTGTGTGATAATTAGCATGGGTTAACTTTTTCTTTGAATTAATCTAAATTAATAGAAATTGTTTTTTCTTTTTAGGAAATCTACCTTTTTTAATGTATTAACGAATAGTCAGGCTTCAGCAGAAAACTTTCCATTCTGCACTATTGATCCTAATGAGAGCAGAGTCCCTGTGCCAGATGAAAGATTTGACTTTCTTTGCCAGTATCACAAACCAGCAAGGTAAGAAATACTTAATGTTATTATTTTCAGTGGCATTGTATATGCTGAGTAAATAACACATGATATATTCCAAGTCAGATGGAAGATTTTCAAAATTAGTGTAGCATTGTTTTGGGTAATTATACAAAAAATGTAGCAGGGCATGGTGGCACATACCTCTAATCCCAGCACTGGGGAGTCTGAGGCCGGAGGATCTTTGTGAGTTGGAGACCAGCCTGGGCTACAAAGTGAGCTCAAGGCCAGCCTGAACTGCACAGTGAGACTGTCTCAGAAAGACAAAAAAAAAAGGCAATGTAAAGTTTGGAGATGGAGGAAAAGAAGGATGTACCCAGTGGTTAACATTGCAGTTACTTTTTTCTGGTGAGTATGAACTAGAGAGAGTAATTAGTCTGTATTACATAATATCATTCATATAAAATTACGGTGTATTTGTAGGTTCATAGGAAAAGATATGTAATAAAGATCATGAACTATTGTAATTAATGGTTATCTTTGGGTAGTGGAGCTTTTAGGTGATCTTTACTTTACAGTAGTTCTTTGGTATCCATGGGAATTGGTTTTAGAACCCTGTGGGTACCGGAAGTTCTTAACATAACATGGTATAGTATTTGCATATAACCTGTGCATATTCTCCAGTATCCTTTAAATCATTTCTAGATTACTTATAACACTTAATGTATATGCCATATAAATAACTTAATTTAGGGAATAATGACAGGAAAAAAGATCTGTACATGTTCAATACAGGCATAGTTTTTTTTCCCCCCAGAATATTTTTAAGCAGTGATCATTTGAATCTGGGGATGTGGAATCTGCCGTATGGAGGGCTGACTATATTCCTAATTCTTCTACAGTGTTTGAATTTTTTATTAATAAACATGTATTCTATCTTTAATTAGAAAGATAAAACTTTTACTAGATAAATGATAGTTTAGTGAAGATATTTAGGCAGGGAAATGTATAGTACAAGGAGTAAAAATCAGTTATCATCTACCTTGCTGTACCATGTGTAAATACTTTGATATATCCTTCGATATTTTCCCATGAATGTGTTCACATTTACAGAAGCAGGATACTTATTTTACTTGGGGTATTAATATCTTTCTAGATTAAAAAAAATACACACTTAAGAAAATAGGTATAGTTACCAAGAGGCAGTAGATGCTGGGAAAGCAAGCACGATGTCCAGCTAGAGAAACTATCCACATTTTTGTTGTTTCAGTGGATTTTCTGGTAACAGAACTATGTGTAATAATTGTTTATAGAATAGTTATTTTGGAAAGATTGGTTTAATAGGGATTCCTTTTGTGGAACTTCTATGTTGTATTTTATCAGGTGGTAAAACTGACATTGTATCATATTACTTTGTCATGACATTGAAAGTAACCTTTATTTACTCATACTTTAATCTCGCATTTTTACCTGGCAAACTGATTTTTCTAACTTGGTTTCTGCCTTGTATTAACTTTTACTTTACAAAGCGAAGGTTATCTTTTATATGCATATAATTTTCTCACCATTATTAGCTAGGTTTTTACATACTATGCTGAAATGAGTTCTTATCATTAGTGCATATTTCGGCTGTATAACCTGTATGGTTGATTAATTACAAACCTAGACTGCTTGTGTTTGAATCCTTATTTTATTACTACTAGTTGAGTCATCTATCTGTATGCAGGAAATTTCTTAACTCCTATAAGGCACAAATTCCTCATCTGCAAAATGGATTTAATAAATAGAACTCACCTTACAGAATTGTTTTGAACTTTGAAATGAGGTAAAGTACTTAGTCTAATACCTGACACATGTTGACTTTTTTTTTTTTTGAGACAGGATCTCACTATGTACTGTAGTTCAGGCTGGGTTTTAAACTCACTGTGTGTATCAGTCTGACCTTGAACCTCAAGATGATCCTCCTGCCTCAGCATCCCAAGTACGGGGATTATAGGTGTGTGCCACTACATCAGTGTTGACTTATTTTATGATGATTACCCTACCTTCTGTATACTCCTCACTGTTTTTGTGTGTGTATGTGTTTGTATGTACATGGTGTGCCAGTATAACTTGTAGTAAATTTACTGATAAGAGTTTTAATCTCAGATACAATAGAAATTCCATTCTGCTTTAACTTTTCTCCTTCATTTTCCTTGGTAAGAAAGTCCCAATGTGATAAAAGGATTTTGTTTTTTTTTATGGGGAGGATATTAATCAAATCATTACTGAGCACCATGTAAACATTGTTCTAGAAAGGAAAGATTTATATGAAACATTTTGGGAATTGACTTGGTTAATAAACAGGTTAATACTATTTTATAATAAAATCATCTTTTGTATTTCAGCAAAATTCCTGCCTTTCTAAATGTTGTGGATATTGCTGGTCTTGTGAAAGGAGCGCACAATGGGCAGGGCTTGGGAAATGCCTTTTTGTCTCATATTAGTGCCTGTGATGGGATCTTTCATCTAACACGTAAGTGCATTTGCTTATTCACCCATTGATTTCATCACAGTCAGTGTTTCCTCTCCATTATTGCTCCAATGAAATTAGAAAGACTGATTAATAGAAGATTGCTTTTCTTTGCAAGAAAATAATGGGTTAGTTTGTTATCTGTTAATTTGTGATTTTTAATGTTTTTTACTATGACCTTCACATGTGAAGACTTATTCCATAGTGAGTATAGGCCATGCTGATAGCATATTCTAATTGACTATAATTGTTCTGAATTTGGGCCACCGAGAAGTAAACATTTCTGTGTAGACCTAACATGGTTGGGGTTTTTTTTTTGGTACTGGGAATCAAACTCATGACCTTGTGCTTGTTAGGTGCTATGCTGCTGAGCTGTAGCCCCAGCCCATAGTGTTGATTTAAAGATGTTTTGAAATTTTTTTTGTCATGATGGGGATGGAACACAGGACCTGTGCATGCTCTGTAAGTGCTCTACCACTGAGCTATACTCTTAATTTTTTAAATTGTGGAACTTTTCTGCACTCTTACTTTTCCATGTGTTGAGAAGGCAGAATTAATAGAGAAAGGGATTCTAGTTATTTTAGAGGAGAAAAGGACATCCTAATTATCTGAGATGAAAGGATTAAAGAAATTAGCTATTTATTATGGAGAGTGTTATAATCCAAAGAGACAAAATAGGTAAGACTAGCCATGTATGGTGGTGCACACCTGTAATCCCAGCACTAGGGAGGCTGAGGCAAGAGGATCTTCGCGAGTTGGAGACCAGCTTGGGCTACAAAGTGAGCTCAAGGCTAGCCTGAACTGCATAGTAAGACCCTGTCTTAAAAAGACCAAAAAAAAAAAAAACCCAAAAAACCCAGGTAAGACTGTAGTTTGGGTTGTGTTCTTTAGATTACAAAAGTGAGTCAGTAACAGTTATTCTCGGATAAAATGGGATTGAGGTTAAGGTTTAGGTCAGGACTGTACTTTATAGTAATAGTATTATAATGAGCGGGTTAATGCAAACAAAACCCAAGTAGGAAGTAGGGGCCAACTGTGGACTGGCTCCATGTTTTTCTCCACTAAGATAACTAGCAATTGAGAATGAAGATTTAGAAACTTTCATAGCAAGTTAGCTATTTTTTGTCATTTGAATCAAATAATAAAAAAATTTGTGTTAGTACTTTTTGTAGATCCTTAAAGTTTTTCCTTTGCCTAGTACTTTACTGTTACTCTGTTTTCAAAAACATAGATAATTTGAAAAGCACCAATCCAGGTAGCTCTACCTTGATAAAGCTATAGAGAGACCTTCTGGGATCCTTTGTGGTGTAGGCCCAGAATGAGATTGGAGTGGGGAGGGTTCAGTTTTGTAAAGAAGTGAACCTGAAGCCTGTATGTAGGAGGAGCCTCTATGTTTTTTTACTGTGCCTGGTCACTATATGAGGATTTGAAAGAGAGTAGAAGTCAATTGTGACTGTAGGGTTTTTGTACTTGATCACTTGAATGAGTCATAATGGCATTATCTGAGATGTTTAAAATAGCAGCAAATAGTAGAGAGAGAGAAGGAGATCTGTTTGGGACATTATTTTGAATTTTTCTATTTGGGACATCTGGGTGGGTATCTGTCAGGAAATAGGGTAGACATGTGAGAGAAGGATGGGGGAAAAGAACCAAATATAGGCTTCTGAGACAAATACACACTTCTCAGATGAAGAAATACAAATGGCAAATAAAAACATGAAAAAATACTCAACATCAATGGTTATTTGTGAGATGCAAATTAAAAAAACACTGAGAGTCTGTCTCACCCCAGAAAGAATGGCTGTCATCAAGAAATCAACCAATAGCAAATAAAAAATGCTGGCAGGGCTGTAGGGAAGAAGAAATCCTTCTCCACTGTTGGTGGGAGCACAGATTGGTGCAACCACTGTGGAAATCAGTGTGGAGATTCCTTGAAAAACTAGGATTAGAAGTCACATTCAACCCAGCTCTTCCCCTTTGGGGTATTTCCCCAGAAGAATTAAAAACATCATACCCCAGCGATACATGTGCACCCATGTTTATAGCGGCACAATTTCTAATAGCTAAGTCTTGGAAACATTCTAAATGCTCATGAACCATGGAATGGATAAAAAAGATGTTTTTTTTTTTTTTTTTTTTTTTAAATGGAGTACTATTCAGACATAAGGATAAACTGGAGACTTTTATAGATAAATGGATACAATATCATACTCCTAAGTGAAATAAATTAGACCCATATGTGTAAACATTGTATTGTCTCACTAGTATGAGAAACTGAATGAGTAAATAAGATCCAAAATGTACAATAGATACTGTGAATTGGGAAGAAACTGTTCAAAAGAAAAGACAAACTCTGATGGGGTAAAAGAGAAAGGAAGAAAGGGAAAATGAAAAAAATTATTTACACACACAATAGTTAAAATAGTTATACAGTATCTCTTAGTTCACTGAAAGTAAAGATTTGTGCTAATGTTGTTTAGACAAGATATTGTACCTGTATCTTGTACTCTGAATAACTACTGCAAAGACAGCAATACACAGTGTATTAATTATCTCCTACTAACCTGTTTTGAAACTGTTTTGTTATTGTTTTCTCTGTAAAAAAACAAAAAAGAAACCCAAAACAAGTTACGAAGAGTTTGACGTTTCATTTTATTATAAAAATTCATTTTCAAGAGATTGAGAAGGATTTCATAGGTAGTTTGAACATAAAAAATATAGGATATTTTTAAAAAAAGAATCTATACATATTACTTAGTTTGCCTACTTCTTACATAATGGGAGTTTGTTGTCTGATATGTATTTCAGATCCCTCCCCTCTAGTCATTTAGATTCTCTTTGAATTCTTTTCCGTGGTTTTCTGTTCTCAGAGTATACTAATAAGGACATGAGAACTGGTAAAAATAATGAAAGATTGTTTTATTTGCATGTATACAGATATGGCATTGTCTTTTAAAGTATATTTTAAAATACGTTGTCTTTTAAATTATGTTTAAAGTACTTGCTTGTCTTTGAAAATACATTTTTAAACTGTATTCTAATTCATACCTGTGGACTTAGGTATATAAACAGGATTTTATCTTTCATTAAACATGTTGCTGAAGTGAAAGCAGGATTTTATTTTGACTCATAAAAATATAAAAACCATCAGACTTTGCATTAGGAATTATGAGAGTTCATTTTATTGTAGTCTAGTGATTTTTATCAGCAAAACTCGGAGAGGTGTTTTTATAGTACAAGTGAAATTCTGCTTAAAATTAATTTAAAAACAGAATCAGGGTCTTCATAGCGTCCAAGGTCACTTATTTTTCTTTCTGTATCTTCAGCCCTTTTTATTTTTTACTTTTTATTTTGAGACAGAGTCTGCCAGGTTGCTGCATTGCCTAAGCTGGGCTTGAACTTGGGATCCTGCTGCCTCAGTCTGTCAGAGTGTTGGTATTGCAGGTGTGTGCCCCTATGCCTGGCTAGCTTTACAAAATTCTTAACAAAATTTTGCTTAAACTAGGCTAATGGATAGAGCTGCTGATTAGCTGAACTAATGGATAGAGCTGCTATTTCTAAAACATAGAAAATACAGAATATTTTAAATACAGAATATTTTAAATATTTAAATACAGAATACCTTAAAAATGTTAAGGTTCATGCCAGGTGTGGTGGTGCATGCCTGTAATCCCAGCACTTGGGAGACTGAGGCAAGAGGATCACTGCAAGTTCAAGGCTAGCCTTGAACACAGTTCAAAGCTAGCCTGAGCTACACGGCAAGACTTTGTCTTAAAAAAAAAAAAAACAGCTGAGTTTTCTGTGGCTGTCAAACTTTTTGCCCAAGTGACCTTATCACAAGGATGAAGAACATGGGAGCTTTGGGTGTACAGCATAGCTCCAAACACTTCACTTTAAACAACAGCTTTTATAACTCCCTATTTTCTTTTTTCTGTTTGTCTAGCAGCATGCGGGGCCCCAATTTGAGAGGCGGGATCATAGGTTAAGATATAAATACTCTAGACTAGTGGTGGCAACCCTCTGGTATGTGTATCATGGAAAGCTGTAAAAGGTTCACCATCACTGCCCTAGACTTACTAAGAGGCCTGTCAGACCAAACAGCGAGGTGTGGCTTACAATATTAATGTCTATCTGTATTTCACTTTGCTTACTTAGTGCTTTTAAGATTATTAGGTCTTGATCATAAGAGCCCAGTGAGGTATAGAGGCCTTAGTATTACCTTATTTTTAGATGAGCAAACTATACCTTAGAGAAGTAAAGTGACAAGTCACATAAATAAAGAGTAGCCTTGACTGTGTAAATAACATGACTAGCCTGTTCTACCAAACTCTTTTTCATACTTTTTTTTATTTTTAATGTTTTTGTTTTTGTTTTTTTTCTGGTACCGGGAATCAAACTCATGACCTTGCGCTTGCCAGGCAGGCCCTTTGCCTCTGAGCTAAGTCCCCAGCCTCTTTCTGTCGTATTGTAGCATCAACTGCAGCTGTATTGTTAGGCCCCTGGAAGAAAGAATGTTTGGGGTAAAACTAACAATGTATGGAAAAACGTAACTAATTTCCTAAGGATTAAAATGCATTGCATTTATTTATTTAATTTCTTTTACTGTACATTGATAATTTATAATTATATAAATATATGGTGTACATAGTGATTTGACATGTGAATATAATGTACAACATAAAATCAAACTAGATAACATATCCATCACCTCAGATACTTAACATTTAAATTTTTTTATGGTGAGAACATTTGAAATTTATTCATAGTAATTATATTACTATGTTCTTCAGTACCACATACACACACATCTACCCCTACCTCCTCATTCCTTCCATCTAGGATTTTGTACCTTTTGACCATCCCCACCCCTCACCACTCAGGTTCTGAAATCAACATTCTGCTCACTGCTTTGACTCTTGATTCCTTTGTCAGAGCATCATGGATTAGAAATTAGGAGAATTTGGTTGGATTAAAATGTTTGCATACTTCTTTTAGGAGGGCTG